CACGTATAAATCAAAAACTTATAACTGAACAGTTCAAAATTATGTACATCATGAGTTTAGGTTAACGATTATGCAACGCTGCATTTGAAATCATGCGGAATTATGTATATAAAAATATAAAATTTACTGAATCGTTTATGTTTATAAATGCTTACGAAGATCTACATGATTCCAAATTTTACGGAATCGTAATGTAGCCAGTGGCGTGATGAGCATTTATAAACCATGATGAACTACATACACTTCAAGTACCTACTTTTCCACTTATTTCTCTAGCCCATTGTCCTTGATGTTTTTTTTCAAAATTTAAGATTAGTAAAGTCTTCTTTTTTACGTTATAATTAAAATCTTATCGTCGTGTAATATATTTGTATCGACAATCATGTATGCCACTGCATTCGTGTTTTGTGTTGGTTATATGTTTAAATTTGGAAATTTGCTACGTGTGTATTCAAACAAAATCTTTACGTATCTAAATCAAACCACACAACCACCCATCCACCTATAACATATTCATCATGACGTCTGTGCGTCATAAAAATCCCTTCACCATACCACGTGATTCCCGTGGATACTGTTCATCAAAGGGATTTGAAACTGTCTTACATGCACGACTCTACAGTACGCGCTCGCGCTAATGATCCGATGACTTTTCGCGTAAGCGGCAAATACTACTATTTTTCCTCTGACGAAATAAATATTTTCTATCGATCTTAATCCTTCGAATGAATCGGCTTAGTGATTATCGTCTTGCAATGCGTCCGGTACGTACACAAGTAAAGAACGTAGAGTCGAGAAAATAGGGGTAGAAGACGAGGAATATGATGAGGTGACAGTATTTTTCGACTCGGTCCTGCCCGCACAGACGTGTTGTGTGAACATAACAATAATGTACGTTAAAACGTCAGAACGCGACGATTAACGAAATCAGTTGAAGTGAAATTGCCGTGTCAATGATCAATGGTAATGTCCTTAGCTCGGTGAACACTCGAAAGAAACTATTCGATCCATATGTCGGTTACAATGAGTCCACCCAATCCAAAGAGAGTCAAAACATTTTGAGTTTTTTAAATTTCCGCATTCGATGCGTATCATATACATCAATCAATAAATTATAAAAAAAGAAAAAAGATTCAAAACGGAAAGAAGTACTTACCCGAAAACGATCGAAATTCCATTGTTAAATAAATCTCGTTATTTTTTCGGGATTTTTATTTATTGATTTTTTGAATGAGCACTAAGAAATTCAGTTTTAGAGTAAATTTTCGATTTTCGATCCATAATGAGGATAGTTGAGTATTTGCTGTCACTCCGACATATGCTAGTCAAAAAATAACCACAACGAAGTTGTGCGACCTACAAAAGCTCCCTTGTTCCCATAAGAGATCGAAAGAAATATATCCAGGCCATTATCAATCGAAATAATAATTTTAGCAAACAAAATAACACGGAAAATAATTAAATTTTGCATAGTAGTGGTTAGTTATATTTTTCGTTCCGTCTGTGTTTACATTATTAATTGTATACGTGTCGCTGAACAGTTAACATATATTTGTGTTTCAGCCCTAGCAGCGTTTTAAAAGAATTATTCGCATCACAGTTCTATAATTCTTGAACTGTGAACGGTGATATTTTTTGTCGTTTTCAAACCCACCCATCGTGATATTATAAAAAAAAACAAACATTAATAAATAAAAAAATAAATAACATACTATTTCATTTCTGAAAATCATACACAATAATACTCATGTATAGAAAACAATACATCAAAAATGTAACAAAGTATAAATGAGTTAAGTTTATGCGTAATAAAGTATGGTGCGTTCGAGCATACAAGAAGAACAGCAGTCCGAATTAATAATATTATATAATTAATAACACGGAAATCACAGAAATGTATACTATTTGCACAAAACTATCAATTCGTTCAACATAATAGAAAAATGAGTTTGTACTTGAGATAATCAATAATATAAAAAAATACCAAAGAATGAAAATCCTGTACATAATTAACAACTGTAATATTTGTAATCAGTACATTATTTTTTTAGATAAGATTATATTGATTATGCTCAGAGTTTAGGAATCTTTTAAACATATGACTATGTACTCAATTTAAAAAAAAAAAAAAGTTTAAGAAATGTTAATAAAAATAGGCGCAAAATGGTGAGAAAACTGTAATTTTAAATAAATTAAACTTTGTAATTAAAATTTCAAAATATTAAAACACAATTTGTGATTTCGATAAACTAAAAACATCGTTTTTATTATTGTTATTATTTTTATCGGGTTTCTGTTTGCTGAGTTTCATATTTAAGCAGATTTTATACTGTATACATACAAACAACTGTGGAGGTGAGCAATAGTTAGAATAAAAAAATGTGAATCGATTAATAATCTCAGCACAGGCTTTTACCCATATAATATACGAATATAAAAACATAATTTTTATCAAGCTAGTAATTTAAAACAAATATTTATATGATTTATATTAATACAAGTGGCAATAATTATGATAAAAATGTTATAATGTTATATCCGTGTTAACAATTTGATGAATTTAACCTTTTCCTTCGTACCATGGAATTCCAGTAAGGTTTTATACATTTTTTTTTTTTTTTGGAATTTTACAAACGAAGCGTAACCCAGCTATAATTCAAAGTACGTTGTGTATGCGTATACGTTTGCTAGGGCTGGTTGATGCATATAATTGAATTAGTAAGATAAATGCGATCTTTTGTTCGTTGCACAAAGGTTACTTGTTACAAGAGTGGGCGAAACGTAATTTGTAAACTAATTTTTAAACTTGCAAAAGCCATTGTTGGTCAGTGGAGAAAAAACTGCATGACGGATGGCGGAGAAAATAAATACGATTTGATTGCATTTGATTGCAACGGTACGACTAAATTAACTTTTGCATAGTTTGAATAATATTCTGACTGACTTGTAGCCAATGATGTATTTGATAAGCTTAACCGTTTCAAGGAAACCGACTTTCTTGGATGTATCAATGAAAACAGTGTAATTATATGCTAATTGATTTCTAATTAATATTTACACTATTAATTATTATTTGCTCGATGCTCATCGATCGATGAACGGCTGCCGTTCAAGACCAGAAAACCAATAAGCCAACTAATGATTGTTCAGTTAAATGCGCTACCGATAGTAACACACGTTCATTATACAATTTAAGAAAAACGTTCGGGTATGATATTGTAACGAATGTTACAACCCATCATCATCAACAGAACCGAAGCTACGACGTTAAACACGAGAGAGCTTTGGAACCTCGCGTAACTTTGAAGTGCATATGGTGATGATGACAGAAACGATGGCTTGTTGTTATCTACACTCAGTGCCAGTTAAGGGGAGGAGGAATTTGCCCCCCGTACAATTTCTTAACGGTGAAAACAAAAGTTTTGAATATTTTTAATAAATTATAATTTTTAGGAAGAATTATTAATTAAGAATATTAATCATTGAAATATGTGTATCATAAATAATAATACAAATAGATAATTTTATATACGAGTACATAATAATGTATACATAATAAAGATAATATAATATCATCTACTGCAGAATTATCACGTGAGTCAGTGTTCAGCGTATTATTAGTATGCCCAGTGGCACCGAATGAAATTTAAATTGCCAGTTCAAATAATTAGATTTACCCACCCACCCCTTTCAATTTACCACCCATTAAAATACCAAAACATTTTTTATCTTTAATAATTAAAGTTGTTATAAAATATTTAATTATTAAATATATTATTTTAAATTGAAAATACTTATCAAGTAATATATAAAAAAATTAATTTAAATTTTTTAATGATCATTTTTATTTTTTTTAACATTCCAATTTTCTACGTAGTTCAATTGAACTACCTGAAGTATGGTTCGGCGCCACTGAGTATGCCCATATTACTATTATAGCACTCAGAGTTTTCTATTTTCATTCGTATAATCGTATTGTTTTTTAGTATAAATTTTAGTTATAATTATTTATTTGTACACTACCAAGCTTTTTATTTTTAATACTCTATCGTCTATTTGGAGTCTCGTACACCGTAGTCGTGGTCTTATCAATTATCGAGTCATATCGACTGTAAAACAAACTGCTTTAACGTTTCTTAAAACGGTTGTTTTTCAATTATATATGATTAGAAAAGTTAACGTTTATTTATTTTATTATTTTTAATTGAACGTTTATACTACATAATAATAGGTCTATTATATCGAAAGTACCGATGTTACGATACGTCTATAAATATAGATCAATTAAACAATCAACTGCCAGTGGTTCGCATCAGTCGACCGGTCCGAACCACTGACAGTTAACCGCGGTCGTTACAACGCCCGTCACCGACTCACGTTAAAAGCGACCCTTAATCGGTATTCGAAACATCGAACGATGATGAAAAATGCACAACGCACTGTGCGCGATCTTCCCTCTTGTTATCCCTCTTCTACTTGATTTTTTACGCATTTTTCGTGTTTTCTTCGATAATCTGTACTTTAGAACCGTACCGAGCCATTTTTATATCATGAGATGAAATTGAAGCAATGGGTCTCTATATTGTAGAACTGTCACATTCACAACTTTTAATATGTATCAGAAAAATTTGAAAAATTGTAATTAGGTTTCTCGTAAAACAAGAAATAACATTTCTTAAAATAAGTTAATTATTTAATATTTTTGCTTCCCCCCAGCTTTAGGCACCCAAGGTAAGTGCTTTTCTCGCCTCACCCTAGTTACGGCTCTGCTGTACTAGGTGTATTGAGTACGTATATATAAAAAAAAAGTTAATCCATTATACGTGCAAATATTATTCGTTATTACTAAAACACAATTTTTTCGCCGTCACATGCACTGCGATGCGCATGGAGCACTTTATTTTTTCAGTGGAGTCGGTGTTCATTTATAATTTTCTCATAAAATTATAACTCGCGTGATGGATAATTTAATAACAGCAAATATTAAATACAAACGATACCTTATAAAAAGCTTATTACCGCCAACTTGTGGACCGCGATTAAATATTATTATCTTCTTACTGTGACGGTACGTACCTATAAAATAAATTATAATCCGTTAATGTGCATTTGTTCATATATATAAATAAAAAAAATACACGAGACGAGACTCGGACTAATACCAGGTTGAACCGATAGATTAAAGTTGTAAATTATACAAAGAAAACAAATGACCACCTAAATCATAAATAAGCGATAAACAAACATAGCACATCAGATTCGACTGAAATTGTTCAGTGTTATACGTATGGTTAAAGCAATCTATTTCAAGAACAATAAGATCTCCGTTGGCGATACGAGTCTAAATTCAAAAAACACATGGTTTTTAGAAGCATTTTATAGAATTCTAACACGAACCTATAATCGCGGGTCGGTAGTTTTACATCGAACGCGTGGCCGTTTTTCGTCCGAGTGGAAACTCGTCGATGCGTCATCTGCCAATCAACCGGTGCTGATGGCGGATATTTCGGAACGTTTTACCTACGTCAAGAGGACCATTCGCAAGGGACGTGCAAACGATTTCAAGGCATATATACCGAGAACACTAACCCGGTACGCGATTTCGGGGAGGTCAATAAGCTCGAAGAGCCGGCACTACCGATCAGTCCAACGGGATTACATGAGCATAAGCGAATGAGTTAGGGGTTTTTGCCCATACACGTATACGCGCGTGTCCATGACGTGTGTGTGTATCGAGAATACGTCGAGCGCGTAAAACCAATTAAAGGGCCGAATATAAAACAAAACGATAATTGGTTCTCGTGCATAGTATATAACATTATCTCGGTTCGCAAATGAATTTTATTCCGAAAAAACATATTATTATCATGCACCGTAATGCATATACGTTTACGTATACCATCGGCAATAATATTACCCGGGTCTATTTGCTCTGCGATTCCGTTTCGTGGTCGGCAGGAAGTAAAATAAATTAAATAAATTTTAATTCCCTCCCGCCTGAGTCAATATTTTACATAACAAATAAAACCCGCGAGTTTTCCGAATGGATAATTACGTATATAGGTACGTATACAGGGCTGTATTTTTTTCCCCGGACTCTCCCTCGGGTCAATTAACGGCGGTAAGTATTGACGGCCAGAGGATGAGGTCCCGGGGATTACGTTTTGATTTGAAAAGTATTTTATACACGTTGTGACGGCCTCTCCACGTACACGAACAAGCACATTTATGAACACGGTGAACACAGCGAAACCAAACTCGCTATTGTGTCAAATTCGTGTTTTGCTCGTCTATTGTTCATACCCACTGGTTTGGATATGTTTTTTTTTTGAAAGATGTTTTTATTTTTTTCCATTAAATACTGATTTTCACGGATACAGATTTTTGTCAGCACTGTGTTTGCGCTTTAAGGGAAAACGTTTGATTATCGCTGTTTTGGATTACTACCACGCACACGACAAGAGGGTTGCTTTTTTTTCCATCGTACGGAAAGGTATACAATAAATCCTGTGCAATAATGAACGTTCTCGTTCGGTTGATTTCACGTCGGCGAATTCAGTCATAAATGTATTAAAAAATGAATTTGTTATTTAAATATCTGAATGAAAAATAAACCACTAACAGCCAACGAAATAAGGGGAAAAATCCATTCTTTCGAAAACCTATTTTGTTTGAAAATAATATTATTTTATATTTTACATTTTTTATTCTCGTGACAGTCTACGGGGGTATATAAAACAGGAAGGATTTGCGAGTTTCGTGATTGTGGAGTAGATTCGTTTTTTTTCTCGCGAAGACTAGAATCCTTAAACTAAAATACGTAATAAGAATAAAGTGTATGAGAAAATAAATAGTAGCTTTTCAAATCACAGTTTACATTATTTGAAAATAACTACAACCACGCGAGAAAAGAGTTTTAATACAATACACTATATTTTTTCCTGATAGCTTTATGTTTTTGAACATTTTAATTTTATTCAAAGTATACTACGTATTCCAATATTACCTATTTTTGTTTCCAACGAAGAAAGTGTTGAATAAAGTTTTGTATCGTTGATATTTATTTGTTAGATTTTATAGTATGTTTACCTTTTAAAGCAGAATATATATATATATTGAACTTATATTCTATTATAGATAAGAATTTCAAATTTAAAAATAAGGAATTGTGAAACAGAAGTATTTCTTGGAATTCATCATTCTGATTTTAGCTAAAAGGTAAATTGAAATGGTCACAAATACAAATATAAAAGTTCAATATTTATACGTCTGGATTATCAAAAGAAAATTGTAATCCAAAATATAAAATTATAAAGCCAGAATATTATCATTCGAAAATTAAAATTTCATTATCATAATTAAACTCATAAATGATAAGTATAAATTATAAATATAGACCATACCAGTAATATTCAAGGAAATATTTAAACTTGTTACACAAATATGTATTTGTATTTAAACAAAGTGTACTTATACATATACATATATATATCGATTGGACTAAAATTATTAAATGATTAATTAATGTATGCAAACTTCAAATACTTTTTATATGCACCAGGCATAAAATTATAACTTAATTTGTTCGATCTTAGTTCATATTTGAATTTTTTAATTATAATACCTATACTACAACGTCATTGATGAAAATACGAGTAAACTATTATTATAAAATACCAAAATGTATTCAACCGAATTACTAGCTTTTATAAATCTGCATTATTTTTTATTTTCACTCCGGTTCTAAAAATAACCATTTAAATAAAGTATATATTATACTGACTTATGAACCAAGATTTCAAGTTTGATAAACACCCGCAAATAACCACTTCAATACCTACACAGAATTTAATTCAGCTTTTAATGGCGAATAATATAAATTTTATGATAGTTCGGTTTCGTTTGTTAATGTGTATCCTACTAAAGCATTATTTCACTACTCGTATTTTACATATCATAGTCTAAATTGTGTTCGTACGTAATCAGAGTTATTATTTTTCAGTCCACTCACTAGAATAATACAGTTAATGTTTTTCAAAAAGAATAACAAAAACAAGCACTGAGACCCCAAATTTTATGCAAGTAGAGTATTTGGCCTATACTATGTATATGTCTCTGGTTCTCTTGTTCGCTTTTAATTGCAGGGTAAACATAGTTATTTCAGTTATTCAACCAATAAAGCAATACCACCATCTTCAGCAGATCGACAATATTATGAAATTTATTGCAAATAAACGCGTAAATATAGGAGCTAGCTCATGATATATATAAAGTGAATCTGTAAAAAAAAAGGGAATGTACGTGTTGTTCCATGATTCGTTTAAACCAATGGATTATTAAATATTGACATTTTCCTTTTTTTATTTTTACGAAGCTCTCTTTTTTATACAATGCTTTGAACAAACATTTTTATTTTTGACCAATTAAAATTAGCTTACAATTAAAGTATAATTACATAAATATTTGCACTCATATTTACAAATATATACTTATATTTTTTTTTACAATATTACATAGTATGTATATACTATGGCATATAGATTTTTTTTTAATCCACATATGAAAATTAATAAATTTAAAATATTTGTGAATATATTTTTTTATTACATATAAATAATAGAATATGCATATCGTACGTCAGATAAATTCGGTTTGGTTCGGTTTGATTTATAGGTTTTTAGTATTATAACAATTATTAATCAATATTAACAGTAAAATACTATACCTGACTGTTTTAATATCGATACTACTACTGTTTGATTTGAAAACTTCATTGTTACTAAATACTAGATTAATATATCTTTATAAAAATTCGTTTATTAGATACACGGTTTGTATTTAATATTATAAATGTTCATATTATGAACACTTGAACACACATACCGAGTTATCGATTGACGTTTTTGTAGTAAAAGATACTCAGTTTCCTAATAATAGTAGTATTATATTTGTTACAAACAACAGAAAAATATGCAAATCCATGGAGATGTATGATAGTGATCTCATGTGATGTTTATTGACAATACATAATTACAAATTTTTTATTGTTTATACAGTAATATCACAATAGAATCAGTTTTTCTTTGAAATAGTTAGAATAAATAATGTATACTCATTGTTTTTTATGTGTCTGGTAATTTAATTTATACTCATTAGTATATAAATAGATAGGCCATGTATTAAAATAATGTCTAATGAGAATAGTTTTAGGCATATTAGAATTAACATGAAATATATTTTCTTTTTGAACTATCAAAATTAATTTTATTTCAAATGACATTAACCATAATCTCTATAAAGCATGATTCACATCTTAGTATAACGGATTACATACGATTAATAGTATAATAAAATAGATAACGATTATATTAACAACGTGCCAGTTATTATATTTTATTCATTTATGTAAAAATACGTTATACGTAGATAAATCAATAATTTTTTATAATTTTTATAATGAAAACATTTTAGTTAAAGCGATTTTTTCAGAATGATATTAGAAAACATACACTACACGTTTTTGTTTTTTTTTTTTTAATACAAATTTAATAATTATTTTTTCGAGATTCATATAGATTTAAACGGCCAACAACCCGAGTTCTAGCTTCAGTATTCGAATATTTCAAAATGATTTCTCTGTTTAATGGTATTATATTTTACACGTCATATTATGAAGTGGGAGCCACTAAATCACATAAAACCTTATACACCCAGCTACAGCAACGAAGTAGTCTTCGATGGTTTTTTTCGTGTCTGTTAGAGCGTTTGAATTATTATTTATTTTTATTGGCTTTTACTTTTGAGGTTTTATATACATACGACAGGCTTTACCGTTCACCGTGTGACTTTCACCACGTTTGACACATTTCGACCCTCGTTTGTAAAATGTTTTCTCGTATATATGGTTGAAAAGTTGGTAGCTCTTTTACACTTTGATCGTTTTTTTGGTAGTTTGATGTTGACGATTTTCAAAATATAAAGCCTATATTTTATTTAAAACTATATCTGCTCTATATTCTACTTGAAGTTCAGATTGTTTAATGGATATACCAAATAAAGAGATTTAATCAATCGTC